TTTTAAAATTTATATTTTTTATAATGCTAAGTAAAATTCTCGATAATCGATCTGTGAATATAAATACATATATTATATTCATTGCCTTTGCAAACACTCACAATTAAGAAAATAAAACTTTCTTTATCAAAGATGTACCCATAGCTGTTATGTAAGCCATCTATAGCTAAGCTCACCTCACTTGGCTGCCCGCTTATAGGGTATATGAGCAGGAGCAACTGCACAAAATAACGAGCTACAGCTGAAGCTTTTGGCTGAGCACTTTGTGCATAACTTCCCATTTATGTTGCTTTGCTGCTGAGCCACGCCTCCCACCAGAGCGCAGAGCCTACCCCAAACCCAAAAACTGAATGTACACCAAGTCCAATTGTTTGCTCGTTTTTGTAGTGGTGGCGTCACTTGGCGTCCAGAAACGCAGCGGTTGACTTCGTCTATGGAAATGGGAGGGGGAAGGGAAATGGGAATGGAGCTCGGAATGGGAATAGCAATGGCAATGGCAATGGGATACGGAATGGGCATGGGGCAAGGTATAGGTAGTGGAGAGAGCTCTTCCTGTCCGGCTGTCCGAGCTGTGGCTGCCGCCTGACTGTTGCTGCTGTTGCTCCAAGTGCTGCTCCTCGGGGGAAATTCCTGTCCATTGTACATGACTTTTGATATTTATGGGTAATTTCGTTTGCGTTCAGGTTCAGTTTTGGGGTAGTGGGGGGCAGCAGCAACAAGAGCAACAACAACAGCAGCAGCAGCATTTCAATGCTAGGTGAGCTACGAATGAGCCTAAGAAGAAAAAGTTCAGACCAATTTTGTACAGTGGCTGCCCGGCAAAAGGACAACATAAATCAACAGTTTTTGTTTTTTAATTTGCTAGCCAGCAGCCAGCAGCCAGTCTGATTTTGACAATAAACCAAATAATATATACTCTATATACATATTTATGTATATGTATATGCATATATACAGCGATAAGCTGGCAGCTCGTTGCCAGTTTTACAATTAGGCAACCCGTAAAATTTATTATAGTGATTTTTATCAAAACGCAATGCGCGGCACTTGGCGGCCCAATTAATCATAAAAAGTTCTCGACACCATCGAACCACCTCAACCACCCATCCGCCACCCAGTCACCCACCCACTTAGCCACACAGTCATTCAGGCGGGTAGCCGTCGACAAAGTGTCGCCCCGAGCTCCGTCGAGCAGGAGGAGACCCAGAGACACGGCTTCTCGCAGCTCTTGAGTCCCATTTACCTTCGTCAACTTGCTGACATATGGAATTTTTAATTCGGTTAAATTTCTCTCACCTGTCATCGTAGACAAATCCGGCGTTTAATGTGTTTAAGTATAGAACAAAAGCGAGCGTCGCACAGCCAACGATTCCGGCATAGTCCAGGGCCAGCATTCTGCAAGGAGAACAAAACAAAGCAGAGCTGAACAGACAGTCAGACAAATGAAGAAAATGTCCACAAATATTAAAGTTGAGTGTCATAAAATATATGCTCAAATTAATTCTCAAAGGCTCCACAACAAAGCATATAATCCCCACAAAAGGCAAAGGCAATGGAAACGGCAAAGCTTTTTACGCTCATCTGTATTTTTATACCCTGAACCCATTTTCAATGGGAAATCAGGGTATAATGGTTTTGTTGAAATGTATGTAACAGGCAGAAGGAGGCGTGGCAGACCCCACAAAGTATATATATTCTTGATCAGGGCGACGAGCTGAGTTGATTTGGCCCTGTCCGTCTGTCTGTCCGTCTGTCCGTCTGTCCGTCCGTCCGTCTGTCCGTCTGTCCGT